TGACTCCCGGTAATGAGTAGATCATCAACATAGATGAGGAGGTATATTTGAACTTGGCCTTTGCGATAGACCAGCAGAGACGGATCGGCCTTACTGAAGCCGAAACCAAAGGATGAAAGGACCGCAGTGAATTTGTTGTACCATTCTCGAGGAGCTTGCTTGAGGCCATAGATAGCCTTGTGAAGTTTGTAGACCATTGAAGGATGCTCACGGTTCACAAAGCCAGGGGGTTGAAGCATGTAAACGTCATCATGAAGATCTCCATGCAGGAAAGCATTGGAGATGTCGAATTGTAGAGTTTGCCAGCCGCGGTGATGAGCAAGAAGAAGCATGACTCGTATAGTGGGCATTTTGGCAACGGGACTGAATGTCTCATTGTAGTTGACACCAAGTTCTTGTTTGAAGCCTTGAGCAACCAATCGAGCTTTGTATCGCTCTACCTGACCGTGAGCATCATATTTTGTTTTAAAAGTCCACCGACAGCCGAGTACCTTACCATGAGGAGGAGGTGGAGTCAGTGACCAGGTGCCCTTGGATTGAAGAGCTAGGAATTCTTCAGACATGGCAGCTCTCCAGTGGGGTATTTGAAGGGCTTGAGTATAGGATGTAGGAGTGGAATCGACTTTTAGAGAGGTTAAGAGGTTGAAGATTGGTTTGGGTCGATGAATGCCAGACTTGAGACGAGTCTGCATAGGATGAGTAGAAGGTGGAATAGATTGAATTTGATTTATATTAGGATCTAGATCAGTGGAAGGGTCCGAAATGGACTGTGACAGAGAGGTGTTCGAGATAGATAGAGGTGTCTTCCGGGATACAGAGGAGACATTAGGTGAGGTAGGAGGAAGGTTGGATGAAGGTATAATGGAGGTAGGAAGAAGGAGGTATGGAGTTCGTGAGGTGGTGTTGGATTGTGTTGTAGATGATGGAGAAGTCTCGATTTTGTGTGGAAAAATAGATTCATGAAAGATGACATGACGAGAGATATGTACTTGTTTGGTGATAGGATTGAAGCATCGATATCCTTTGTGTATGGTGGAATAGCCAATGAATATACATTCGTTAGAACGTGGTTGGAGTTTGGTAGAGGTTTGTGGTTTGAGCCACGGGAAACAAAGACAGTCAAAGGTTTTTAAATGATTATAGGTAGGCTGCCGATTGTGAAGAATATAGTAGGGAGAGTGATTGTCACACACTTTGGTAGGAAGCCGATTAATGAGATAGTGAGAAGTTAATAGAGCATCGGCCCAGAAGTTGTGTGGGAGGTGTGCTTCATGAAGAAGCGCACGAGTGGTATCAAGGAGATGACGATGTTTCCGCTCGGCGACACCATTTTGTTCAGGTGTATAGGGGCAGCTAAATTGATGAGTAATGCCGTGATTTGCGAGATAATTGTTGAAAAGTTGGCCGGTGTATTCACCACCACCGTCCGAGCGTAGAGTAGTTATATTAGAATTGAAAGCATTTTGAATGAGTTTATGTAAGTGTTGGAATTTTGAGAGAGTTTCATCCTTAGTGTTCATTAAGTAGAGCCATGAAAAGCGAGAATAATCATCAATAAATACGACATAATAGCGAAAACCATTAAGAGACGGGACAGGAGCAGGACCCCAAACATCTGTATGTATTAGCATAAAAGGTTTGGATACACGATTTGAAGAGGTAGAGAAGGATAACTTGTGGCTTTTGGCCACATTACATGATTTGCAAACAAAAGAAGGTAAAGTGGTACATATAGACGGAAAGTTTTTAGACAGTAGTTGCTGAGTTCTGATGTTGGGGTGTCCTAGCCGAGAGTGCCAAGGTGTGCCGGAGGAGGTGGTTGTGTGGAGAGCTTGCGGTTGAGTGACAGAATAGAGGCCGTTACGACATCGACCATGGATGAGTGTTCGATTGTCCTGAAGATCCTTAATGAGGAAGCCATTGGAGTCAAATAAGATGGAGCAATTATTGTCAGTTGTGAGTTTGTGAATAGAAAGAAGATTGTGTGATAAAAGCGGTACGTGGAGTAAGTTGCGTAGGTAAAGCTTACGATTAGAGTCCGGAAGTGGTAGAAGTCCTTGGCCGGTGTTATGAATGGGAAGAGTACTTATAATTAAAAAAAAAAGAATACACTTATTAAAAAATTAACTAATTAACTAAACAAATTAACTAATTTAATAAAATAATAATATTAACTAATTTAAATAAACCAATAATATTAACTAATATTTATTTTTAATTAATTATTAATTTTAATATTCTATGAGTTATAATATAATTAAAAAGTAGTAACAAATTTTGCTTTGTAGTAGAGTGGATGAGCGCTAGATATCCTCCATAACAAGCTACATTTGAATCCTCATTCAGTCAAGGTCAGGCACAGACGAGCAGGTAGTGAATTGGCTGGGGCAGCGTGAAGACGGCCAGGCGTGCGCGGACAACGAGCAATCGTGGGTTGGCAGCGAGTTGAAAGATAGAATTCTAGCAAAGGAAAAATGAATTTTGCTACAGTTTTTTTAAATTTTTTTCATCTAAAATCAGTCGAAAATTTTCCCTTTGCTCAAATTCTGTTTACTAATTTTTTCGCTCGTAATTATTTTCTGACTCATATTTTACCGGCAAAAAATTTTTCGCTGAAAATCAGCCAAAAATGTATTATACCGACGGAAATTGGCAGATTTCCAACGAAGAAGGCCTCCGAAATCAGCTGTTTTCCTGTAGCGTACCTCTACATAGAAGATTCACCTGCAGTACTCAATTAAATAGCTATTAGTATAATCAAGTATAAAAATACTTTAGGTCATTAGCATGTCAAGATTGTGGGATAATTTTTTTCTTCATGAGATTACAACCAATAGGCTCCCTTCCCTAGATGATCTTACATGATAAATGGGCCCTCCTAATTGTTTGAGGTCTCTCTCTAATCTCTCTCTAGAATGAGGTCTCTCTCATATCTAACATAATTTGTTTTGTACACCATGAAGTCCCTTCTTTCTATGAAGAGGTTGAATTCGATGCACAACTCATAATAAACGGAAGCTCCTTTGCTCAATTGTCAAGGTTTTGTTGACTCTTCTCATGAGAAGGTTGAGGATGAGTTTGTTTATATTAATGTTTGCTTCTTCGTTGATTTGAAGATGATCCAAAGCAAGTTCGCTATGGCTTTGGCAATTAGATATATGAGGGAGATCATTGCTTCAATCTATTTCGCGAAGTATTCCAACATGACTAAGATAAATCAATGATGTAGTGTCACGATGGGAAAAGTACCAAGGAAATACAATTCCCAAATGTCGAAAAATCAAGACGTGATGGATTGTAATGTTATGCTAGGTTGGTAGAGGATAATACTTGTAACGCCTACTGAATTCGTGTATGATTACACCTATTCTGACTCAATCTAAATAAGGTAACATCCTAAATTTCATATTGTTTATCACATTTTGCATATGTTTATGAGTATTGTGTGTGTGTTTAAATATGGTTTGAAATGAGTCTCGAAGATATATGTGCATGTTTGAGTAATATGAGGGAATCGCGCGGGATTCCGATCATTACAGGTTGATTTTGGGTCAACCCAAACCTAACCAAGTTTTAGAAACGGGTCATAAATCGAAACTCAAATCCGACTCGTCTGACACATGGGTTGACCTGAACCCAGAATTTTTCAGGTTGGTTTTTGGTTAGGTCAAATATTGACACCCCTATTGAATGGCTCTTAGCGACCAAAAGCTTGAAGCTCTAGAGGTGTAATATCAGGATAAAGGCGGTTTTAGCAAGATTATTATTGTCATGGGTGATCTTGTGGAAGCCTTATTAAAGTGATGGGTGTAGCCTTTGAGAGATTCCCCATCCTAGGTTTAAACATCGGCCCCTTTTAAGTTGGCAAAATGTGATAGAAATATATTAGATAATTCTAATATGCGAGGAATTGAACTACCTTATGGCTGCTCTTTGTAAGTGTTTATGGAGAGTTGATAGTTTATAGTGTGGGAGATGCATATGGATTTCTGATTTTTGAAGGTGTCCAAATAGGGGTCAAACGAGTAGAGTCGAGTCGAGCTCGAGTTTGAGGGTGTTCGAGTCGAGCTCGTGTCAAATACCGAACTCGAGCTCGAGCTCAAACTCTAGTCGAGCTTGACTCAAGCTCGACTCGACAGAGGAAAGAAAAGCTCGTCGAGCTTCTCGAGCAGAGTTCGAGCTCAGTCTTTCCGTCAAGCTCAGTCCACGTCGTTAGCGTTCGAGCTTAGTCGTCGTCATCGCGTTCAAGCTCAGTCCGTCCGTCGAGCTGCTTGTGTAACATTTCGAGCTCAGTAGTCATCGTTCCCAACGTCTTTCCCGTCCGTGGTCGTTCGAGCTCAGTCCGCGTCATCAGAGTTCGAGCTCAGTCCGTCCGTCGAGATGCTTGAGTGACGTTCTTGCTCTGTCATTGTCGTCGTCAGTGTCTTGCCCTTCTATCGTCGTTGGAGCTCAGTCCGCATCACCCCAGCGTTCAAGCTCAATCCGTGTTCGCATCCGTCGTTGCTAGTGTCCGCATCCGTCGCCAGCATCTTTCCCGCACCAGGTTTTCATTTTCTCGCACCTACTTTCGTTTTCCCGCTGCCGATTTCATTCGCGAGTTGCTCGACTCAATCGAGCTCGAGATCTCGAAATAGTGTTCGAGCTCGACTCGCAAGCTAGATAAGCTAGACTCGTCGAGCATGTTATCGAGTCGAGTTCGAGTCAACTCGCGAGCCAACTTGACTCGCTTGCACCCCTATGTCCAAATGATTCAAGGAGTCGGTCAATCCTCAATCTCCAATTGTGAATGAGTGGAATCACTTCTTCAGCTATGTCGGGCCCAAACAAAGTTGTAAACCTACTGACGTGCTCATAGTGGTACGAACGTCACCGACCCCAACTGACTTACCTTCGTTTGGGCTGAGGACGGCTGCCAGCAGGTTCATCACAAGAAGTGATTAATGCCATATATATTATTTTTATTAAAAAACTTTAGGAGTTGACAAACGCTTTGTCGAACACCCAAAAAGACCAAAAAGAGATGCTGCGCAAATGGCGCAGTGAAAGTATTGAAATGGTGTGCTTCCTCGTCTCTCTTTTTTAAACAAGCTCTCTGCTTTCTTCTTCACCATCTCTCTCTCTCTCTCTCTCTCTCTCTCTCTCTCTCTCTCTCTTTCTCTCTCTGAGCGATTGGGAATGGGGAGAGCTCCTTGCTGCGACAAAGCAAACGTGAAGAGGGGGCCATGGTCTCCTGAGGAGGACGCGGCTCTAAGAAGCTACATCCATAATCATGGCTTCGGAGGCAATTGGATTGCTCTGCCACAGAAAGCTGGTAAGTTTTTGCCTTTAACTCTTTTCTTCTCCTCTTTTTTCCTTGACTTATCAATGGAACAAAGCTTGTTCCTTTTCTGCACTTCTCCTACTCGAGTAAACGCTTGTGAGCATTTGTTTGATTTTGTTGTTTCTTATGAAGGCCTTAAGCGTTGTGGAAAGAGCTGTCGCCTGAGATGGCTTAATTACCTCCGGCCAGACATCAAGCATGGAAGTTTCACCAAGGAAGAAGATGACATGATTTTCACTCTCTACAACAAGATAGGAAGCAGGTATATATACTTTCTTTTGTGAGAACAAATCTGATATTATTAAATGAGAAACAAACTTACAGAATAGTTTGTCTATCTCTATTAGATACAGTGACAATTTCAGTTCTAAATCAAGAACTGTGTTCATAAGTTTCTATCATTGATAGAGATTTATATCAAAAAATGAATTCAATGCTGACGAGGAATTCAACACATGAATTTCTGTTAGGCAGGACATTTTGTTGAATAAAAATGAGTTATTGATGGTTTTTAATCCTATTATTAGGTGGTCTGTGATTGCTTCAAAGCTTCCTGGAAGAACAGATAATGATGTGAAAAATCACTGGAACACCAAGTTAAAGAAAAGGGTGATGGAAGGAAAAGCAAGCCATTCTAGTAGTTATCAAAGATCTTCAATTCCATTGCTTTCAGCACAGTCTCTCATTCCAAGTGCTCAGGCCTCGTCTTCTACCAGTTGTGTGTTAACTCCGGCCATCGGTAATCAAGAATTTCAAAGCTCTTATGACAGCTTGGATTCTTCTCTTCAGCAAGAAGTTTACAGAGGTGGATCTGAATATGGATTTTTATGGGAATTAGACTTTGGATCCATTACTGATCTTCTCAGTAGTTCTGGTTTTGATGATACAATTCCTTCCATTTGGGCTGATGATTCTGGTGAAGGCAAGCTTGGGGAGCTACCTCAAAGTGTCTCTTACTACTGACAAAATAAGTATTAAGCTGCTGAATTTGATCTTAATTTTAGTTATAAATTTCATTTGTATCCTACTGAATTATACTTGTACATCAGCAAAGAAATGAGTATTTTTAATTTAACTTCATTTGTGTTTCTTCTTTTTCTTGTAATAGGAAAATCATTAGCCCATATTATCTTTACAAAATGTTTTAAGACAATTTTTTGTGTTTTGCAAGGCAAAATTTCAGTATTTTTAGCAAGAAAATTAGTTTTTCCTTACAAAACAAGAACTCATGAATTATGCCTTTCAATGTTGCTATTATGAAGAGCTAGCGAAGAAGAACATGAAAAAAAAAAGGAAAAAACTGATCAGATATTTTCTTCAAGAGATTCAAGACATCTTCTTTGTTCAGTTTTGAGTTTTGCAAGATAATTTCTTGCTCAAACGAAGAAAATTACTGTATCTTAACCAATAGTTTAATCTGAATATGTGGAGAAGATATTTGTTTGAAGACTTTTCTCATCAACTCTCTTTTCCGAGCAAGGCCATTTCAAAACACGGTTGTGAGACACTTAACAATAAATATGAAAACATCTTTTCACTGATTTGATATTCTTCAATGCTTGATTTTTTGACTGGTTTTAAAACAAATTTCTTGCACCGGCTAGCTGTGATAATTAAATTGCTGTATTTGCCAATTCTTCTTGTGGGCCTTTGAATGTGACTGATATTATCGTTTGATCAAGTCAAATATCAATTTTGGCTGTTCTTTGTTTCTTTATGTGTTAGTTTCTTTATCTTTTTCTCACCGTCATTGTTTTTATTCATTTAAAAAGAATCCAAAGTCTAGAACCACAGATGTGCAAGCATGTCCTCCTTTCATTCTCACTATAATATTCATTCAAAGGACAAATTTGGCATTGTATGCTTATAAATCAAACAGCCCATAATAAAAAAACAATTTGAGTATAGTTTTTTATGACAGTACAAGATAGTCTTGGATTTTTTATGCTGAAATAGTTTTGATTTCAAGTAATGTGGCCATGAGAAGAGCATGAACTGTCTGACACTTCATGTCATTGTCAGTAATGAATTATTAACAATTTTGAAGGAAGAAAAACCATTATTTTAATCAGAAACTACTTCATTAGAGCTGAAGTTATGCCTGCCATGTTTAGAGATGTTAATAAGTTTCTAGGAAGATCACAAGCTTAAAGAACTAGCCAGGATAAGTTTAATAAGAAAAAAATCAAGTCAATAAACTAGTTTTTTTTTTTTTTTGAAAAATCAAAACTTGATGGTTGCAAAATATGTTGAGGTAAAAATTTAGGCTTGGTTTGGGACAACTTTCTTACTGCTTCTTAAAGCAGCTTTCTAGTACAACAAATTTAATTTTTTTTACTAAAAAACTGCTTTAAGAAACACTAAAAAAGTAATCCCAAATCAAGCCTTAGTTGGCCCCCACTCATAAATTTAATGTTTTCTAGTGAAAAAAATGAACAGTAATTTATTTTGTACAACTTTAATCTATGTTGGATTCACACACTTTGATTCATGATTATTAACATAGAGTATAGAAATAGGTGGGCCATGGATTCACCAATGGACACCTACCATGCCTAATGAGTGGATTTGACTTTTGAGCTTCTATGAATGCAATGAACATTTTAATTAAAAATTACATTGGAAGAGTCTAAATGAGAGCTATGAAGAGTAAAGATTCTTTCTAGGCCCTGGAGTTAATATTCTAGGATAGTGTTGTAATTGAATAGAACTATGTTGAGCATTAATGCATACACATTTGGGATTTGAACATTGATAAGAAAAAGAAACTTTAACTTACAACAAATCTTAAGAAACCTAAGTTTTTGCAATATTTATCACTTGAGAACAAAAAACAAGGTTAAATGGCAAGCCTTAAAGATACTGTGGTGATATGCAATATTTATAGGCAAAGTCTCGTGGAGGGCAGTAGTGTCTAAATAGTAGATTTGAAAAGATGATAAGAAATATACAAACTATGATGGATTGATATATAGCATGTTGGAGAATATGCGGCAAGGGCTAAGTTGATGTTTCAATTGTGTGCAAGCTTAAAAAAGGAGAATTTGAACTCACCTTCAATTCTCACATTGGTGTACTTTGATTCTTATAATTAAATGAATGTTGGAGAAAATGCATTGAAGGCTAAGATGGAGCAGCCACAGACTATGCTCACCAAAGCATCGATCAACTGAAAGTGGATGAGAAGAAGAAGGTATGTGATGGACCGGTTGATTTGATTGGGAGGGAATTATGAAGTTTTCTAATTAATCAAGAGGGAACTATTTAGGAAGGTTCTTAATCGAAGGGGAATTGTTTAGGAGTCTTTTAATTATAATTTGGAGGGAATTATTTAGGGCAAGAGATTTAATTTGAATTCAAAATCCAAGAAAAAAATATTTAGGAAAAACGAGGAATTAAGGAGGGATTGTTAAGGAAGTTTTAATTATAATTGAGAGGGAATTAATTAGGGAAATAAATCTAATTTGAATTGAAATTTGAGAGGGAATTATTTAGGAAAAAGGCGCTGATTTGGGAGTGAATTATGGGAGCCTATTTAAGGCTAACAATAGAGTGATTTCAGGATTATGTTTTGAATTTGCTGAAATTAGAATTTTTAGGTTGTGAGGGCTCTAGTTGCCGGCAAGGGATTTGGGAGAGCTTGAGCTACCTCTCCAATTGAAGATCCAACTTTATATTGTTATTTTATTTTATATATCTTGTACTAAAAATAGTTTTGATGTGTTCTTCTTCCTAATTTATTGTTTTCGTTTGCTGATTTTTGGGGAAATTATATCCACTTGCTATAAGTATGTTCAGCTCCGAGCTAATTCTCGGCATAATACTAGTGTGCTCATGTAGGCGCAAAGGGTAAAAAATGTAAGTGGTGGAAGAATAAAAGAATATGTAAAAAATAAAATTTATAGACAAAGTATCATAGCTTAACAAATGAATATATATAATATATTAATATTAAATAAGTAATTAAATAAATTAGATCTAAAAAACAATTTAATTGAACAATATATGATCCACCATTTAGTATCTTATGAAGTTTTTAACAAATTATTTTTTTAACTGAAACAAAATTTTTATTAAAAGCAAAAGGTACACCGCAAGACCACGATAGGGCCACATCATGGGAGTTACAATCAACGAAAAATAGACTAAATCAGACACTAACCAAAATCAAAATCGAATCCAAATGGACTCAGACCGACACCCAGTTGCCAGGGAGGGGCCATCTAGGGGGGATCAAATAATCTGCCAAGAAACCAAGCCAACAAGCAGCAAACACCAGACCACCACGGTTGCCCAATCCTAGCCATCAAAGGTGCATGTAGAATGACTGCTTCCTCATAGTCTAGATCCAAAACAACGATGGCAACCAAAAGTGAGAAAAGCCAAAAGCCACATCCACGAAAATCGGCACGAGAAAATAATTTATTCTTAGATTTCCTTTTACGATTCCTAACAAAAGTATCCGGCGAGCCAATTTCTAAAATGCTATCAAAAGTATCCTCCCCTTCAGCAGACGACAAATCATCATGAAGCCAATCGCATTGCCACCTAACACTGTCCCTAGCAAGATGGGCTCACAAATTAGCACTCGAAATAACAACAATACGCACATCCACCAGAGGGACGACGCCAACTGGCCTCCCCTGAGTTAACCAATGACACATCACCACCATCGACTAAAGAAATAGAATTAGTATATGAGGACTCCACACCATCAGTATGAGGACTCACTCTATAATTAACATAGCAATCACTATCTAATAAAACCGCACTACCAGGATCCCCAATCGGAGGACCCTCACCCTTACCAGCACCACAAACTCCAACCGGTGAGCCTTCCAAACAAGTCGCAGCAACAGAAACAGAGACAGTAGGAGACTGAACTGGGCAAGACAGAGTGGAAACAACACCAACTCCAACGTCACCAATAGCCACACCACCCATAGAATTAACGGGCAAAGAAACGGGAGACACAACCACATTACTCTCTAGGTAACCAACAGGATTCACAGACGGTAAAACAATAGGAGACAGAACAGCTACATTAGGACTAGAATTGATAAGAACAGTATCCCCTAAATCACCAACAGCATTCCCCGAGACCTGCCCAGCAGTCTCCAACTCAATAGGAACATCAACAATCTTCACCCTAAGCACAACAGGAGGTAAAGAAGAGGGAGAAGATAAATTCAAAATAGGTTTAGCAACTGTATTAGACAGGTCAGTCGAAGGGAGAGGACGATATTTTTCAGGCACATGAACAACACATTTACAAGAAGCACAAAAGGGGGGAATTCATCCATAACAACATCCTGACATACCCTAAACTTTCAAAACCTAACCAAACCTGGTTTGGATAGGATTTAGTTATATCAAGATCCACCAGCACACGAGCCACGGAAGGCCGAGATCCCGCAGAAGTAGACGCATCAATTTTTCAGAGGTTTTCAAAAAATAGCTCCCAAACCATGAAGTATACGAGGGGTATATAGATGAGGAAGCAATAGCGAAAAAGTGACCCAAATCGGGATGACAGGCGACTTAACACCAACATCCAAACTAGGAGACCATTTCGTGAGTTTAATGTAACAATTGTAAACTAGGTAGGGTCTATGACAAAATACCCTACGGTAATCAAGATCATTAGCTAGTTTAATCAGAATATGCAATGGGTCAAGCAAGGTGACCGAAACTTCACTTTTCAACTTTAGGTTAAAGAAAAATCTGCGAATGGAATCAAGAGAATGTCGCTTAGAAGGGAAGAAACCAACTAAAGAGAATTGAAACGGGATTGGCAATTCATTGATTTCCTGGTCGGAAATCAAAAGGGCAGGCAAGCCACGAAAAGCCGAGGTATGCAGTTCCGGAAATGAAGTAACCGAGGAAGAACTAGCAAATGCTTCCAAAAACAAGCGTGAATGAGACGAACCCCCTAAAAAACCAAGGTCGCACAACCGATTCGGGGCCATTCCGGCACACGCCGGAGAAGGAGACTGAAAACAAAGCGAGAAAACACAAAACCAAATAATACACTAGAAAAGGCAGAGAGCACTTCCTTGAAAATCACTGAGATCGCCGGT